CGAGCGGGGGCTGGGGGGGGGGGATGGCGCACTTAATTGAATTCCCATGTTTGGAATGTGAGCCAAATGCGTGTGCAGCCTTTAAAGGCACGTGCGTCTGTCTGGGTCCCAAGAATCTCCAGAAAGATGGAGGGTGGGTGGATGACAAAGGGTGGAATGCCTCACGCACACTGCACCAAGTACGTTAGTGTGTAAACAGCACAGTGCGACTGCAGATCCCCTGGGCGCCTCCACAGTCGCCTGTTTTCCTTCAGCAGGGACCTTGTCTCTACTGTAAACAATTTAATGAACATGTTCAGACATCAAATGAAAGGGGCAACTATTAATAAGCATCCCAGTGCGTGTTTGGGTATGTACACTTTCGGGTTTGGAAATCATCCCAGACCAGAAATGTCAGAGATTAGAGGAAGAAAAAAACAGAGTGAGAGAGAGAGAGAAAGGGAAGGAAAGATCAGACAGAAAACAGGAAATATGATCAACCCATCCTCCACCCTCCCTCTATTATTCCCACTCTGCTCTTTGTGTGAAGCCTATTTTTTTAATCACCCTTTTCACTTTTCTTTCCGAAATGAATCCCTCTCTCCTTGAAATGTGTGGCTGAGCAGCAGATTATTTCATGTGGTGAAGGTCTTTAATGTAGGCCTCCGAGCTATGGGGGTAGGCTTCAATTAGCGGGACAAGCTTCATTCAGCAGAATGGGCTTCCTTTAGGAGTGTGAGCTTCATTCAACAGAATGGGCTTCCTTTACGAGAGTGAGCTTCATTTGGCTGAATGGGCTTCCTTTCGGAGTGTGAGCTTCATTCAGCAGAATGGGCTTCCTGTACAAGTGTGAGCTTCACACCAAAGAATGGGCTTCATTTAGTAGAATGAGCTTCTCTCAGGCCAGTAATCTCCATTTTGGAGTGAGCTTGATTTAAGGAAATAGGAGAATATGCTTCCTTTAGAATAGTGAGCTTCATTTAAGCAAATGATTCTCCACTTACTGGAATGAGCTTCATTTTGGCAAACAATCTTCATTAACGATCTCTGTCGGAGAGAAAGACTTTCATTTAGGCGAATGATCTTCACTAATGACTTTACTTACGAGAGTGAGATTAATTTCCGAGAGTGAGCTCATCAAAAATCACACACGGGTCTGTGATCCACGAGCTGACGGGCGGGCGGCCTCGCCGGGTAGACGCTGGAATGAGGATTCGGCAAGAACGGCATGTGGTTCTATCATTCTCAGGCTACTCACCCGGCCTTTGAGTGCCAAATGTGGACAATTAGACACACACACACACACACACAAAGTCATAAAGCAAAAGAGAGCCCAGGACTGAAAGCACAGAAATTAACAGCCACAGGTGATGGAATACATTGCTGCTCTGACAATGATACGCGTACATAATCCATTAGCCACACTACAGTGGAGGTCCAACTCGCATAAAGCACATTGACATTAAAGGAGAGATGAGCTGTCCCTATTCAAACAAGCACACAGTCACGCTGACACACACTTTCCATCACTCTCCCCTGCTCTCTTTCTGCCTACCAGCTCAGCAGATGAAGTGTTTATGGGAAAACTTTCTCCCGGGATCAGGACTGAATCCTTTAAGGGCTGCTGTGAAAACAGGAGAGAACAAAAAGGCAGTAAAAACGCCCAAGGAGAATAGGAATGTATCCCAGGTTTAGCAGAGACAGAAATTAATATCGCAGGAGAACAATAATGGCTGACTGATGAGTTCTTGTATGTAGTTAAATTCTACCCCCTAGTGGCCACATAGGATCATTACCATACATATAATTCCATAACATTATGCTGCAACAGGCCGTACTTTTCCACGCAAAACCACTTTAAATAATACAACTCTTTCCAAATCTATTTTGTTTAAATGTAATTCATTTTATTATTCTTATAGCTAATTTACAACAAGCAATTCATTGAAATAAAAGGTGATTTTGTATTCATCACTCCTTAAATGTCCCTTTTTCTTGCAAGATAAATTATTTAAACTATTTTACACTTTTTTAAAATTTAATCTGTTGGTTTGATGTACTCACACTTTGAATTAAAATTCAGTAACACAAAATGCAGTACATGAGTTCAGGGTTTTTTTTTCTTCAAACAAGAATGCAAGAGTGATAATTCGAGGGTTGTGAAGATTGAAGATATAAAAGAATCAGTTGATTTCTCATACTGATTATAGATTGTAAACTAAATCTAGAGCCCCATTTGTTTGGTGTGTGTTACTGTACTCTCTGCGGTGTATTTGGTGTTGGATGTTCGTTAGTGTGTCTGTGTTTACGCAGCGTCCTCTTTATTAGGTACACCTGCCCCTACAAACTGAACCGTGTGGCTGAGACATCGTACATAAAGCACAGAGTGTCGAGGAGTTCGGTTACTCTTAGACAGAGCTCACGGACATGCACGCATGTTCACAATGCTACATACAACTTTGAACGTGTTGCACGCTGGTGCCAGATGTGGTGGTTCCAGCATCTCGGAAGCCGTCCTGGGATTTTCACACACTGCTGTGATTAGTGTTTACATAGAATGGTGCAATAAACAAAAAAGGGGCCAGATGGTGACAGTTCTGAGGGGAAAAATACCTTGTTAATGAGGGAGGGTTAGGGAGGATAGCAAGACTCATTAAAGCTAACAGGAAGGCCACAAACGCCATGGATAAAACTCTTTAAGTTCCCAGCACATTGTTGAATCCATGGTGCACAGAAATCAAGCTGTTCTGTAGACAATAAAGGGTCCTAACCAATACTAGGCAGGTTTACCTAATAATCTGGCCACTGAGTGTGTTGGTTTGTCTGTTTGCATGCATGTGATGTTCCAGTGAGCAGGAACGCAGTGTACGTGTACGATGACTAACAGCCATCGGATGTCAACACGTCGATCCAGGCAGGCAAACGTCAGTGATTCTTTCCGGCCTGTCGCGCTCCGCCGATTCCTCCCGAAGCGTCACATGGCAAAGCCTGATCCACGCAGTCTTCAGGAAACCCCAACACTCGCGTCTGCTTTCGTCTGAGGTCAGGGAAGATCTCGGCCGCACTCCATGCTGACAGTTCCATACTGGGAGCTTCTGCCCGAGCGGGGATCAGTCTAGGCCAAGCCAAACCCTGAAGCAGTGCCATTTTAAAGCCCCGTTGATCCTTACAGTCAGATATGTCTTTATACACAGTTTACACAGCAGTATATTTTGCCAAACACTTTTACAAATAGATGTTTTTTGTTTTTTTTGTTTTTCTTTTTTTACAAAGTATAAATCAAAACAAAGGGAACGAATCAGAGCCTTTTGGAATTTCAACAAAAGCAATAAATAAAACAATAAATAAATTAATTCATTAAGTCTTCCCCAAAGACTTCTTTTGTAACACTGTTCCCAAACTCTTCTCTTTCCAGAACCCAAAACCAGGATCCACATGTAAGTAAACCTAATGCCTCAATCAACGCACAGTCCAGTACCTGCATGTCTAACTCGCTGTACATAATTCATCTGAACTGAAAATAATCTATACTTTATACAAAATACTGCTCTGTCACAACCACTATTGGTTTGTGCCTTTAACTCGCTCTCATTCTATGCCTTTATTCACTGTTACTCAACCCAGTTCTCAGGGATCTCTTAGACAGTCCACATGTTTTGCTCCCTTCCAGGTTCCCGGCCAATCAAGAACACTGAATACCGGGTACAGGAGTGGCAGGACCTGAGAGGGAGCAAAAACATAAACGGTCTGGGGGTCCCTCAGGACTGGGATGAGAAACACTGCCTTAACCAATACCCTCACATCATTATATTAATAACCCCTCTTTCTTAATCTCTCTCTCTCTCTCTCACACACACACACACACACAAAGGTCTTCTTCCACATGAAGACTGACCTCACTTCTTCTCATGCAGACACACCCCCTCATGCCCCCCAGAGGGACACACACAGTGGCAGCCCGGCATCTCTCCAACCCTGTTCCCCTACCCCCCCCCCCCCCCCACCCCCGAACAGCCACTGGCCACAAGAGCCGTATCAACTTGTGTTAAGTAGCCCTAAGCAAAGACGAGAATGAGGGAAACAACAGGGACATGGATGGACACAGCCGTAGAGATGGCATCCCCAACGCGGGACAATTTGGTACGAATGGCAGGGATCCCGCTGCTGGAAACGCCAGCCACCTTCCAAACACCGGATCCGAGACTGAGCCTGCCACGGGGCGCCAGCAGACCTGGGGGGCGCTGGCTCATTACCGACCTTCCAGTTGGGCTAGCGGGCCCGGAACGCCCTGTGACCATGTGAGGACTGAGAGACGGGACACATGTCCTGGACAAAAAGGGGTTGATTTCCAAACATTTTTTTTTCTCTGAGGTATGACAGCATTGATCTGCCTTGTTATGGAGCGTGTGTTCGCCGGACCTTTGCGCTTAAAGTCAGTTTGGGTTTTTACCCGACTGTCCAGCTGAGAGGAGGCTAAGCATCAGAATGACGCCAGCAACTCCCAGACCTTCATATGAAACCATTTATACTGGAAAGCACTAGAACAATCTGCATGGCATACTTGGAGTCAAGTAACCAAGTTGAGTGTGTTGTACCTCGATGCCTTAAAAAAAGCAAGGCCTGTAGGATCCGTTTGATCTGTAAAAAAAAAAATAAAAGAACAAAGTCTAGCTAGGTGTCTGGGTCTCTGTGAAGTCCACAGCATGAAATCATAAAGAGAACCGTCCAATTGCTGAGGTGAACTGGCCAGTTCCAGCTGAAGGTTAGAAGCTGCCCTCGCACAGAAGTTCAGCGTATGCCATCCACGGTGAGGTGCAGGCGGTGGAAGTAGGTCGCCCCCTGCTGTCTGGAGGCTGGCAAGCACAGACGGTTCAGGGCACCCTGGCTGAGAAAAGTGTTCAGACATCCAATAACCACAGTCCCCCAACCCTTTCCAACGGTTCAGAATCGACCACCTCTGCCCAGCATATTTAAAGTCAGATGCCCCTTAGTTCCACCCCCACCCCAAAAAAAAAACACACCAAATTGAATTGAATCTATTTAAATGAAAACTGTGTTAAGATATGTTGCTGTACAAGATTCAAACACCTGTTATAATTTGTCTGTTCCTTAAAAATATAGATTTAATTTACACATTTGTATTTTAGTCTAAATCTGTTACATGTCGCATTTGTCTTTGAGAAAGGCCTTAAGAGACAGACGGAGAGAGAAAGTGCCGTTCTGGGCTGAGAAATGGACAGATGAAAAAAGAGAGAGGTGCTCTTTTGTGTGCTGGTTATGAAAAACAAGGCTGTAGAGGGGTTAGCGCCCCTAGTGGTCAGCCAAGTGTCCCAAGCCTCACTGTCTCTCGAACCGCTTCAAACCTCCGCAGATAGAGCAGCTAGACTAAGCAGCACCTGTTCTTCCTAACCCTTCCCCCGTCCTTTATCTCTCCTCTCCAGCGCTGTCCTCCTCTGCCTTCCCTGTTCCCATCAACACCCACTTTATGTCGTTAAATACACATGCACAGGAGAGCTAACGTGGGGGTTGATTTTACACCATGTTTGGTCCGTCAAATCTGTGTCCCTCAGAGCGGAAGCGAATGACATTTATTTCAGGGAAACAGCCAGCAGTGTTTGGTTTGGCGTTTTATTAGACAAGCTATTATTATTTACGCTTCTACGTTCGGTGAAACTGCTGCACCTACTGATCGCCGTTTTTGAATTCTGTCCGTTTTCCAGCAGAGACACATTTTGCTTTCTCTCTCTTTCTATCTCTCCTTCTTACAGACAGAGGAAGAAGGGATGAGGATAAAGGAGAGGAGGGAGCGTGGAAGAGTAGGGGAGGCTGAAGCTCCGTTTGAACTTCACGTTGTGCATTGAACTCTTGTTAGTCCTTGTTTCAAATGGAAACACCCACAAATGAGGGGTCTACAGTAGCCATAGAAACAGCCAATGAGATAGAAGGAGGAGGAGACTGGAGGACAGATGGGCGAATGAGCATCTCAGAGTCTCTCCCTCCCCGGGATCCAGATGTAAGGCCCGGACTGTTCTTCGATCACGCCCTTGATTTTGTGATAGATCTCCTCGAAGCTGTCACCTTCCACAATAGCTGCATGGAAGACAAATGCATTATATACTTCATCATAACAATTCAACTTTAGTAACAGTATAAAAAGTGACTCTTAAAAAGTGATTATTACTGAGAAGATAATAAATAAGACAATGAGTGTAATATGTCCTACAGACAGAAGCGGGTCTTACCTGAGAAACACTCAACAAAGTCCTGTTCTAGTTTAATGGCTCTGTCCAGGGCTTTACGAGCCTGGTCCTCAGTCAGGCGCTTGTTTATGTCTCTGAAAGGCAAAAACCACAAGGAATGTACCATGTACTGAGTGGTGTGCTGTGTAAATGGAGCCTGTATTATATATATATGGAGTGTGAAGTCTGTAGTGTGTGGAGCGAGAGAGCGGCATGACCTACAGGATGTTCTCCAGCGACTTGGGCCGAATGAAGATGGCGATGGGGTGAAGTTGGGCGGCCTGCAGTCTGCGCACGGCGTTGGCCGACACGTCTAGGATGCAGTGCTTCCCCTGCTGCTTGCAGAGGTACAGAGGTTGCTGGTGAGTGCATGACCACCCCCCATTTCCAGCCCTCTTTGCTGCATGTTCTCTCCCACCCCCAGCCCATCTGCTTGCTCACCTGCTCGGCCACCTGCCTGCCCCGCCCACCTGTCCACCTCCAGCTCCGCCCACCTGCTCGGCCACCTGCCTGCC